TTCTTTTCTGTACAGATCTGTTTCACCCACCCAATATGTTTGCATTATTTGCCTTCAATTCTTGGGGTCTTCTGATAATACTCAGTGTACTCCCAGAGGTTTTTCAAGAGCATGAAACCACTCTTTCTTCCAATTATAAAGTCATCTCAGCAGGAAGTAATCATACTGCTCAATATTTTGAAGCCAACTTTTGGTTCAGTGGCTTAGAATAGACACTAAAGAGGCCCGCATTAGACATGACAGCTAAGTACAATATATGATCCAAACCAAAATCAAACCCACTCCCATCGAGTAGATTCTGACTCATAGCCACCTCCATTGTGTTTCCAGGCTATAAATCTTTTCGGAAGTAGATTGCTTCATCTTCCTCCCACAGGGCAGCTGGTGGGTATAAACCAGTGACCTACTGGTTAGCAACCAAATGCCTTACTCACTATGCCACCAGAGCTCCTTATATGTGATCCAGGATGAGAGAAAAATATTCCTACAATGGACGTTATTGGGTCAACTGACAAAATCAAAATATGGACTATACATTAGAAAATAGTGTTATACCAATGTTAAGTTTCCTGAATTGATCACTGTACAGTGTTTAAGAGATCAATCATATTGTCTTAGGAAATCAGGGTTTCAAACTCATTCCAGTTTGATCCCCTGCTGAGAGTTTGCAATTCCACCCCAGATATACTGAATCAGAATCTTCATTTTAACAAGGTCCTCAAGGTGATTCTTACAGAGCCCTTACTTATTAATAGGAATTACCTTGGGATCTTATTAAAATGTAGATCCTGATTTAGTATATCTGGGATAGGAATGTGAATTCTCAGTAGGAGGTCAAATTGGAATGCACATGTTTGAAATCCTGGGAAATATATACTGAAACATTAAGTAGTAATATGGTTCAGAAAAAAAAAATGTGATATGTGAAAATATATATATTGAGGTAGTGTGGGAACACAAATGAGTTAAAATACTAGAATTGATGAATCTTGGTAAAGGTTGTACAGATAGTCCCCTACTTCATACGTATTCCAGCTCTCAGCAACCATGCTTACGACAACCCATTTTGGGGGTTGTTTTTTGTATATCTTATCTTTAGTAATCGTACTACATGCAATGTTGCAGCACGTAATTTGATGATGTTGTCATTCTCATACCACCTCCAAAGACAAATAAAGATTAGAGTTATAAAGATAATGGTAATAGAAAACATAATAATGAAAATTTTTTAAAAAATGACATATCCAACATTCATCAGAACCAATTTACAGAGTCATCATCATAAGTCCCATCCTAAGTCAGGGATCACATATATAGGAGTTCTTGGTATTACTCTTGCAACTTTTCTGTAAGTTTTTAACTTACTTCAGAACAGAAGTCTTTTTGAAATTGCATGTTAATGAAATCAACAGAGCATTATAAAAACCAAGCTTTATTTAAATGCCTGAAACGCAACATGATATATTTTTAGTACTGATTTCATCTTATTGGAAAGGAAAGGGATCTATTTCCACTTCCCATTTCCAAGCCCCAATTCTCAGGAAATTTTTGCTATTATAGATCCAGACAATAAACATTTTATGACTGACACTAATTTTTTTTTCTTGTTTTGCCATATTACACTTAGTGGAAAGTTGAGATTAGGGCTTTTTCTTTGCAGAGAGAACACTTGTTTTTTGTTTAGTAAATCGTAATGGTTTTTTAAAACTTTTTATTGTGATTTGAGTGAAATTTACAGAGCAAATTGGTTTTCCATTCAATTGTCCATATGTATTTTGTTTTATGACATTGAGTGCAGTCCCCACAAAGTGACAGCACACTTCCTACTTCTCTGTGTTTACCGTTTCCTTTCATCCTTCTTTCCTTTCCATTCTTGCCTCCTGAGCTTTATCCCTGGGCAAATGCTACCTTTTTGATCTCATATGGTTGATTGCTCTAAGTAAGGCTTGCCTCCCTAGTGTTATTGTCCACCTCATAGGCCTGTGTACTCTTTGGCTGAAAGTTGAGCCACAAGGGTGAGTTCAGTTCCAGGTTTGAAGTGTGATTATGTGCCATAGTCTGAGGTTCCATCAGTCTTTATTCAACCAGTGAGCCTGGTCTTTTTTATGATTTTGAATTTTGTTCCACAGTTTTCTACCAGCTTGTCCAGAACCTTCCATTATGATCCCTTTCAAAGTGGTCAGTTGTGGTAGCCAGGCACCAGCTAGTTCTTCTGGTCTCAGGATCATGGAGGCTGAGGACTAATGCTCCATTAATCCTCTGGACTAATTGTTTCCATGCATCTTTGATTTTCTCCACTCTTCTTTGCTGCATATGGGGAAGAGACCAATAGTTGCACCTGAGATGGCCACTTGCAAGCTTTTAAGACCTTAGTTGCTACTCACCAAAGTAGGATGTAGAACATTTTCTGTGTGAGCTATGTTATGCCAATTGACCTGGAAGTCCCCTGTGAGCATGTTCTTGAGCTCCGAGGCCCAATGACTCATTCAAACTCAAGCTGTTTGGTTATGGCTGAGAAGTTTTCACCACTTTCCCTTGTTTGTTTTCCTATATATATGGATATTTTTATAACACATACAGATAACGTATGTAGAAATTTCATCTGCCCCACCTATATATGGTTATATGGGTATAGTCTCATTTGCCTATCCATACCTGATCATCTTGCCTGTCTACCTATGTATCCACTTGTAGATTAATGTTTGTTATTATTGACAATGCAGGATTATGTATGTAATAATATTTACCTTTGTTGTCTATAATTTTATTCACTTCTCTGTCTTCCTTTTCATTAGTTACATGGTGCTGGTCACCCCTTCTTTGTATATTGCCTTTCCCTTCATTCAAATTAGTACTTATATTTCTCTTATTTAGTTAGTGATTTTCTTTCCCCTTGCTTCCCATACCGTCATTGGTTTCCCAAAGAGATCTTCAAAAATTTTTTCTTTCTGGGTGTAAACCCCGCCTTGACTTTTTATAATAATGGATTCATACTATATTTGTACTTTTGTGTTTGTCTTCTTTCACTCAACATAATGTCCTCCAGGTTCATACACATTATAACATGTTTTGAAGATTCCTTGTAATTCTTGAATGTTGCATAGTATTTCATTGTGTGTATGTACCATAGTTTGTTTAATCCATTTATCCATCAATGGGCACTTAGATTATTTCTGTCTCTTTGCTATTGTGAATAGTGCTGCAATGAACATGGGTACACATATATCTATTTATGTCCTGGCTCTCATTTCTTTAGGATATATACTTAGTAGTGACATTGTTGGATCAAGTGGTATTTCTATTTCCAACCTTTCAAGGAATCACCATATCATTTTCCACAGTGCTTGCACCATTTTACAGCCCCATCAGCAGTGTATGAGTGTTCCAATATCTCCACAACCTCACCAACATTTATTGTCTTCTGTATTTTTGAACTTTGCTGTTATTACTGGGGTAACATGATATCTCATTGTTGTTTTGATTTGCATCTCCCTAATGGCTAATAATCATGAGCCTTCTTTCATGTTTTTGTGGACTACACGAATGTTTTCTTTGGTCTGTTCACGTCCTCAGCCCATTTTTCATTGGATTCTTTTTGTTGTTGAGATATCGAAGTTTTCTATAAATTTTAAAGAGATAAGTCCCTTGTTGGGCACGACACTGACAAATATTTTTTCCCAATCATAATGATTTTAAAAAAAAAAAGAAAGACAAACATCAAGCAATTGATCTCTCTAGGGTTGGAGTCACTTCCCACAGAAGAGAAATCTACTCCACAGTCCACATTTTCTATCTGTGGTTGGTTTCCTTGCAAAGACCTAAAATAAAATAGGAATAAGTCTAGTTAATTCATGCCTCCTGGTAGAATATAAGATCAATTCTACAGCAATATATATGTAATCAGGAAATTTACTCAATACACATTCTTCCTAATTCCTCCCAGTCATAATAAATGGTCAATTCAGTAGTACCAGAGCACTAAAAATATAATAGATATTCAATAAATGTTTGCTGAATTAGTGAACACTGATTAATTAATTGGGGAGCTCTGGTAGCGTAGTGCCTAAGGCACTTGACTGCTAACCAGAAGGCTGGCAGTTCAAACCCACCAGCCACTCTTCAGAAGGAAGATGGGGCAATCTACTTCCGTAGTGATACTGCCTCAGAAACCCAAGGAGGGGTCACTATGAGTCAGGTCCAACTCGACAGCACATAACAATTGGAGGAATTAATTGGAAGAATATTGGTGGCACAGTGGTTAAGCACTCAACCACTAACTCAAAGGTCAGTGGTTCAAATGCATCTTCTGCTCTGCTCCGTGAAAGAAAGGTGTGGCACTCTGATTCTGTAAATATTTACAACCTTGGAAACCCTATGGAGCAGTCCCACTGTGTTCTATAAGGTCACTATGAGTCAGAATCAACTTGGCAGCATTGGGTTTGGTTTATTTTAATTAATTAATTAGAGATATTAGTGGTAGACTTCTTGCCTCCCATGTGGGACCCTAAAGAGCAGCCACTACCCTTCTGTGGAAGCTTGTGTGTTGCTATGATGCTAAACAGAGGAGCTTCCAAAGACAGAATAAAAAGAAAGGCCTGACAATCTGTTTTCAAAAATCAACCAGTGAGAACCCTATGAATCACAACAGTTCCAACCTAGTGTGAATGGGGTTGCCATGTATCAGAGGACAATTTGATGGGTGGTAACAACATACATTAGTTATCTGTGCTTTACAACAATCTCATTGCACTTATCTAAGTCAGAGGTACTAGTGTGAAGCTCCATCTCTTTCTCAGTACATCTGTGGTTTCCTCCTACTAAAATCATCTGATCAGGAAGAATAGGAGGAGAGAGGAGCTCTTGTATGATGATGATCCTGGGAAAGCTAGGCTGGGTGAGAAGAAGAAGAAAGAAATCCTTCACCTGCATAACCTGGACTGGTGCTGAGCCCTGCCCTGTGCTGGGGGGCCCCCAGAAAGTCTGTAAGGTAAGATAACTGAATGGAACACATTTGCTTGGCTGATACCTCTCATCCCTCTCTAGGGACTGAAGAAACAGGCGTGGTCAACCAGAGTTCCCAAGTGGGCTTCCTTTTCCTGGGTTTCTCTGAATATCCAGGACTGGAAAGAATCCTTTTTGTGATTGTTTTGATTTCTTACCTCCTGACCCTGGTGGGCAATACACTCATCATCCTGCTATCTGTGCTGGACCCCAGACTCCACTCTCCAATGTACTTTTTCCTCTCTAACCTCTCCTTCTTGGATCTCTGCATCACCACAAGCTTTGTCCCCCAGATGCTGTTCAATCTCTGGGGTCCAAAGAAGACCATCAGCTTCCTTGGCTGCTCTGTCCAGCTCTTCATTTTTCTGTTCCTGGGGACCACTGAGTGCATCCTCCTGACAGTGATGGCTTTTGACTGCTATGTGGCTGTCTGCCAGCCCCTCCACTATGCCACCATCATCTATCCCCGCCTGTGCCAGCAACTGGTAGCTGTGGCCTGGGTTATGGGTCTGGCCCAGTCAATAGTCCAGACACCACCAACCCTCTGCCTACATTTCTGCCCCCATCGGCAGATAGATGATTTTGTATGTGAGGTCCCCTCTTTAATTAGACTCTCCTGTGGGGACACTACCTATAATGAGATTCAGTTGGCTGTGTCCAGTGTCATCTTCCTGGTTATGCCACTCACTCTCATTCTTATCTCATATGGTGCCATTGCCCAGGCAGTGATGAAGATTAACTCTGTAATAGCATGGAGAAAGGCTTTTGGAACCTGCTCTTCCCATCTCACTGTGGTCACTATCTTTTACAGCTTAGTCATTTCTGTCTACCTCCAGCCCAGAAATCCCTATGCCCAGAAGAGGAGCAAGTTCTTTGGTCTCATCTATGCAGTAGGCACTCCCTCACTTAACCCTCTCATATACACCTTGAGAAACAAGGAGGTAAAGAGGGCATTTATGAAGTTGCTGGGATGGAAACTCTAGAGAAAGCTGAGGAATAGCAGATTAATGTGCTATCTAAATTAAGAAGTTTCTTTATGATTTTGCAAGAATGTGGGTGTCCTACTCCATTGCCTGCCTTACACCCATCCAAGCTACTGCAGTGGATCACATTGTGTCTGTGTGTATGAGAGAGAAATAGAGAGAAAGACTGACACTCAAGTAAGAAAAGGTAAGGGTCCCTAATTCATAGCTTATAGTCAAAAACATTTTTGATACATTATTATATTTTATGACAATTTTTAATATTTAACCTCTTCTATGTTTGTTTTCTTATGTATTCTGTGTTTAACTATCATCTCCTCCACTATAAATTCCCTAACTCCATCATGCCCATGTCTGGCTATAAAATCTATTTCCAATCGTCATGTCACCACCATCTTTTCATCATTATTTTTGGTTCCTACCATGTTTTCTTCCCTTCTTCATCGAGGTGATCTCTTTACACTTGCTTAAAGAGGATTGGGATAGAGTTTAAGCTCAGATAATTTAATGGTTTTTACCCAAGAACACACAGAAATTCATTAATACTAAAATCCAGGCCCTGAGATGTTTAATTTGGCAAATTTCTAAGTATACACTGTTGCTTTCAAACCATAATCAAATATACCAGCATCATTAGGATTTATATTCAAATGGGTCTTCAGACAGAAAGCTTTCCTACTTCAGTCCTAGTAGTTCCCTGGCCATCCAGTATTACAGAGATTATAGAACTAATCCTCTCTCAATTTCTGAAGGCCTCTTCCCATTTCTGGAGTGGATTTTTCTTTCCTCACTCCAAATCTCTTCATTGACAGTGGCCACTGGATTCACAGCTCTGCCTTTTGACTGCTGTGCAGTAGACAACAGTTGTCCTAAATCTGTCGTCCACTGGAATTCTAGGATTCTGAGGAACCTCCAATGGCAGGGCACAAAATATCAAATCAATTTGTATGTGTAAAATGCTTCAGTGGACTGTGCATGGTGGAAAGTCTGGAAAGGGAGAAAAGAAGCAACAGTACAAGCTCTAACTTCTATGAACTCATAGTCACTTTTCAAAGTTTAGCTCTATTATTACCTTCTTAGATCCTCACTTGAATTCTGGGGAGATGGAATAATGAATAGAATAGAAAATCTACTTGGAATTGAACCTCCTTTCTTCTTTCCACCATTCCTCTCACCTCAGTAGCCTATTCCTTGATGCCAATGAGGAAGAGCAATCTTGACCTTGAGGCCAAAATAAAAGGAACTCAGGAATATTATTTATCTGCTGATGCTTCTCTAATCTTTATCTACAACTCAGATAAGCGTTGTTGTGCAAGAGAGTTGCCCACCTGATACCAGCTAGATATCTGCATCTTGACTTCAAATCCAGGAAGTTTCAAACCAGATTCATCTTTCTCCACTTGAACCTGTTTTTTTTGTTTGTTTCTTTCTTTCTTTCTTGCATTCCAGTTACCATGCATGCTCAATTTTAGCTCTCTAACAATTCTTACATCTGTCCATTTCTTTCTGCCCCATTATTTCTACTTTACTTGAGTTCTGAATATTGCTCATATTTATCGTAATAGCCTTATCACTGGTATATCAGTCAAGATAAGCTAGTTTGTGCTGCAATAACAGTACTGAAATCTCAGTGACTTGAAACAGGCTTAGTTCTTCCTGGTGCTACAGGCATACCTCAGAGATATTGTAGGTTCTGTTCCAGACTACCATAATAAAACAAATATTGCAATGAAGTCAGTCATATGAATTTTTTGGTTTCCCAGTGCAATAAATCAGAAGATTGGGCAATCTACTTCTGTAGTGATACCACCTCAGAAACCCAAGGAGGGGTGGGTATGGGTTGAATCTGACTCAACAGCAGTGAGTCCATATAAAAGTTATTTTTACACTATCCTGCAGTCTATTTTGTATGTAATTGTTGTCGTTGTTGTTAGGTGCTGTTGAGTCATTTCCGACTCATAGCGACCCCACGCACAACAGAACGAAACACTGCCTGATCCCACGCCAGCTCCATGATCCCTGCTATACTTGAGTCCATCGTCACAGCCACCGTGTCAATCCATCTTGTTGAAGGCCTTCCCCTCTTTCATCGACCCTCCACCCTACCAAGCATGACATCCTTCTCCAGGGAATGGTCCCTTCTTACAACATGACCAAAGTAGGCGAGATGAAGTCAGGCCATACTGGCTTCCAAGGAGTATTTCGGGTACACCTCCTCCAGGACAGATCTGTTAGTTCTTTTAGCAGCCCATGGTACTTTCAGCATTCTTCGTCAGCACCACAACTCAAAAGCATCAACTCTTCTTTGGTCTTCCTTATTCATTGTCCAGCTCTCACATGCAT